TTCGGATGGCGGGGAAGAACAAACTGGGGAGGAGGGTGGAGAGAATAGTGCAACAATGAATGAATGGAAACCCAAAATCTCTGTAAATGTTTATGAAAATAAAATATAATTATAGAAAAAAAAATGGCCAAAGCCAGTCCATTTTGTCTCATGCCTAGAATGTCAATGTGCTCCATTTCACAACTTCATTTTCCAACATTTATACTTTGTACATTCCATATTCCAACTATTAAAGGATATTTGCAGCTTTTTTCCTTTTCATTGACTTCCAATATGCACTGTACCTCTTAATTCTACCCATGTTCTTCTATTGTTCATAGCGTTTTCAAAGGTCTACTTCAAAAGTGGATGTGGGCAATCCTGCTTCCTAATCTGTATTAACTCAGCTATACTAAAACATGTCCACTGTGGGTGACTGTTCAGATAATTGACACACCAGTGGCACAGCTTCCAGTATCACAGCAACCCACATGTTACATTATTAGTACAGCAAACTGACAAATGCTGTACTGATAACAGAATAGAGAGACTTAGGATATAATTAACATATGCAATTTAATCAATTCATCATCTGTGACTGCCATGGTTAGTAAAATCTGAGGAAAAGTCCTGAGTCTTCCCTGTGTGGGTATGGATAGTATCCTCCTACATTTAAAAATAATTTTTGTGATTTTTAACAAGGCTTACACAACATGACAGATGTATAGATGAAGCTATACAGAAAACACATCAAGAATCGTAAGTTGCCAAAATGTTAAAACTGTAATGGGATGACTTATGGAAGATGCAGTCATAAGGACGGATGCCTCTTGACAACACTCAACATGAATATGCATGTTATGTGCTGTCAAGTCGCTTGCCACTCACAGCGACCTTATGTACAATAGCCCTAAACTCTGCTCTGTCCATGCCAATCTCACTATCTCTGAAACACCCACCCTGATTACCCCAGTCACTGAATTAACCCACCTTATAGATGGTCTTGGCCTCCTGCACTGTCCCTCCACCCTCCCAAGCATGATGTCCAAGGACTGGTCCCTCCTTGCAACATTTCCAAAGTATATCAGATGAAGCTTCAGAATCCTTGCCTCCAAGGAGCCACCCAGTTTAACGCTCTTCAGGATGAACTTATTTCTTAGCAGTCCATGGCTAAGCAGTACATTCAGTACTCTTCTCCAGCACCACAGCTCAAAGGCCATCAATTCTTCTATCCTCCCTAGCCATTGTCCAACTCTCTGACATACCCTAGTCACCAGCCACCATTGCTCTTCAGTACTTTGGAGAGGTCCCTAACAGCAGACTTTTCCACTGGTATTCTCTGCTTTCAGTTAAGATCCATCTAAGATCGGCTACAATATCCCTAGTACCATGACCCCTTCTAAACCCAGCCTGGACTTCTGCAGTTCTCTGCTGATGTACTGTTCCAGTTGTTTTTGGATAATCTTCAGTATAATCTTGCTTGCATGTGAAAGCAATGATATTGTTCTGTAGTTTCTACACGCAGTTGGGTCACCCTTCTTTGGAATGGGAACAAATATACCTGGTCTTAATATTTAGCAACATTGAGAAAGACATTTTTTTATTTATTGAGAAAGACATTTATCTTTTGTCATTAAATATTTTTTATTCATTCATTCATTCATCCAACAATACTGATGTTTGTCCATCAAGACAATAAAACTGAGCTGTGAATTAAAGTTCTAGATTTCACAGCACCTGCTCTCTGTTGGCACCGAATGGAGTATCTTCCTCAAATTAGGATTTGCATGTTTGTATCTGATGTGGCTTGGATTTCACTCAAGTAGTTCTATGTGACTGCTTCATTCTCCAGTACACTTGATGGAAGATACTTAAGAGTGATGACTTAAAACTCACTTTAATTGGATCTCCAGTGTCTGCTCCCCCAGTTTGTTATGATCCACACAAAAATTAAAACAAAATAAACATGGTAGTAATACAAAAACTAAGAAATTTACAAAGCTGTACAGTAATTTGTTACAATGTTCTGTAGAGTCAGAACTGACTCACAGGTGACCCTCTAGTGGGCTTCCAGAGGCTAAAAAACGCACAGGAGGAGACTGTTCATCTTTCTCCTGTGGAAAAGTTGGGAGGTTTGAACAGTGTGCCCTTTGAGTTGGCAATGCAACTCTTTACCAGTTGGTCACCTTAGTTTTCTAAATAATTTAGTATTTAAAAATTAGACTGATACAGTCCATTACGATCTCTTAAAAAGCTACAGAACTATATAGATTTATGTAGTTTTTTTCAAGGGGGGGAGAAGAAAGAATGTTTTAAAGCATCTCTGAGAGTAATTCTTTTGGCTGGGTCATATTCCAACATTTTCTGAATGAGGTCAAACAGAAGCTCATGTTCAGCATCCTGAGAAAGCATCAATTCCTGAAAAGAACCAACATACATCCATTAGTCTTCATTGGCACTTTTTCGCCATAAAACTAAAAGTGGAAATTTGATTTTCACATTTAAGCAATATCCCAAACTTACTTTCAGAGGTTTACAACGTCTCGAAACATATCTGCCAGCAGAACTGTGCTCATCCCAGTCTAATCGATCATGATGAAAGTATTTACGTTTCCTAAAAGTCAATATTGTTAATAATGTAAACATAAATCCTTTTAAAGGGTGGTTGTATTGTTATTGCTGTTGAGTCCACTACAACTCATAGTGACCCTACACACAATACCTTGCACTATCCTGAGCCAATCTCACTGTCACTGACACACCTATATTCATTACTCCAGTTACTGTGTCAATCCAGCTCATCTGGGATCTTCTTTCTCTTGTGCTGTTCCTCTAACCTACCAAGCATGGTACCTTTCTCAAGATTAGTGCCTCCTGGCTACCTGCCCAATGTATGTGAAACGGAGTCTCAAAATTCTTGCCTACAAAGAGCAGCTTGGTTTCACCTCCCCAAGAGGGCTTTAAGTTTCAATTATTCTACTGCTAAATAAATAACTCAATGAAATCAAATGTACCTTAATATTATATACTATTAAACTTTGTTAAAAGTATCAGGTTTTATATTCAAACATGTAGTTGTTATGTATAAACTACAAGTACCATTCAAAACATTAAAGCTATGATGAAGGCTTTAAAAACGTCAGTGATAGAACGGCCTCTACTTTGGAAGCAAAATTTAACCTAAAAGAAAATCAATGCATTTGACACAAAATTTATGCATAAATGATTCAGTAGCATATAACTTCTTCATTCATTTATTTTCACGAAGTTGAAACCAACTCAATGTTGATCCTCCAGTGAGTTTTCAGGGGCTGTTAATCACATTTGTAAGAGACTGCTCATATTTCTCCTTTGGATCTCCTTCTAGTGAAGCTCCAGCACTACTCCTTATAACCCAGGCTACCCGAGTTTCCTGTATGGCTCATAACTTAATTTGCTTAATTACTTAGTTACTCTTCTATCCCCAACATGAAATTTAACAAAATATTTTCCTTACATTGTTTTATAAATTCTATTAAGGACACAGAATAAACTGGCATTAAGGAGGGGATTAACTAAAACATACCTGGTTTTCTGTATCATGTGTTTTGGTAAAGGTCCAAGAATTCGTTCCATCATTGCCAAGTGTTCCTTACTGTCATGAGTCTAATAGAGGGAGAAAAAAAACACAACAAATCCCCTTGATAACTATATAGTCTTTAAAACAGCTGCCCATTTTCTAGTCCATAGATAAGAAGGTTCTTCCTTCTTCAAAGGCAGATTATTTTAAAAGGTTTACTTTATTTGCAGTTGATATAAAAATGCTGGTGGAGGGGGGACTGGGCAATAATGAAAATTTCTTTTGAAAAAGTGAACTGGGGGAGTGGGCAGGGAGGAAAATGTGTAACAATGAATGAATGGAAATCCAAGTTCTCCATAAAACATTAAAATCTCAATTAAAAAAAGTTATTAAGGTCTGAAGAGGTTAGGGCACTAACGATTTCTTAAAACTGTATGGCGTTTGCTTATTTATACATCTATTAATAATCTATAAATGGGGGAGAGAAAGTATCGAAGTTTCATTATGTATCTGGAGTTAAAGTATCCATTCACAAGCACTTATGGGGGGGCAAAGCGACCAAGAGATCATTATTACTTACTGGAAATATAGCAAACCCAAGGTAGTATTCAATAAGAATGCATCCTATACTCCAGACATCACATGGCTGAGACCATCCTAGGGCTGCAAAGCAAGCATAGTTTTAGGAGACAGAAAAAAAAAAAAAAAGATCTCCCTGATGTTTATCTAAAATATGTATATAATCTGAAATGTAACTTGAAAAGATCATAAAGCATGCACTTAATTCAATTATAAATCATGTAAAGATAGGGCTTTTGGAGACTCTTAGTTTCAACTCTTAAGTTGGTCTTACAGGTCCAATGATTTGGGGTAGTGGTAGGAATTCTCTCAGCCTTCATTTCCTGAACAGTTAAACTGGTTTAACAGTTAAACTAGCTGCAGGAAGTAATCTATACTATTCCAGCACTAAACAGATTGAATTAAACATTTAACATTAAGCAGATAATGAAAAAGCTTTAAGTACTTCAATGTGTTTTCCTCTCAAAGATCTAAATTCCACAAAGAGTAACAACAAGAAAGTATAAATTTTAAATCCGCTTCAATAAAAAAATAAGCTTTGTTTCCGGTTAATAATTACATACCTAAAATAACTTCTGGTGCTCTGTAATGTCTTGTAGACACCAATGTACTGTGATGTTCATCATCATATGTTGCACTTCCAAAATCTACCACTTTAATATCTGGATTAATTAAGGTACGCTCATCACGTTTCTGGGAAAGGAAGAAAAAAAAAATCACAATTATGAAAGCACAGAAAAGGGGGGAAAAACCAATTCCACTGAAACTAGAAGGTCAACATAGAAAATTACCATTGTGGGGTTATATTCCTCCGTGTAGTCCGACTGTACAAATAAGATGTTTTCAGGCTTTAAGTCTGTGTGAGTCAATTTATTGCTGTGTAAAACTGACAATGAGACAAAAAAAAAAATTAAAATATTACAATATGAAAATCAAAACTTAGAAAAAGTCTCTTACAATCTTTAAAAATTATTTTAGTTTGTGAATAAGCTAACAGTTTTAAGCAGAGAAGAAAATCTTCTATGAAGCACACATACCCCACCATATCTTAACTTTTAATCAGTATTCTATTAAAAAAAAAAAAAGGCTAAATGATCTCTCATCAAAATGACTGTATCACTATATTCTGGATAGTTTAAACTGTAAGAGCCCGGGGAGTGCTTATAGCCAAACGATAAGGAACTGGGCTTTCAATCCTAAGGCACGCAGTTCTAATCCACTAGCAGTTCCTTGGAAGAATGATGGGCAATCTCCTCCCCTGCAATTTGGTGCCTCTGAAAATCCACTTGAGGACTGGCTCTGAGTCACTACTTAATAAAAACCACACGAATTTATAATAACTTCCAATTCTTATGTTAGGTCCTAATCCATCTGATTTTAAACTAGTTGTAATTAACTCAAGTTTCTGAAAGATATGTAAAGCACTTACAATTCACAGATTTGCATATCTGGTAAGCCATCTTCCTGATATGATCCATTCGAAATGGTAGAAAGCCATTTTCCTTAATGAAGTCATATGTACTGAGTCCCAATAGTTCAAACACAATACAAACATGTCCATGATGTTCAAACCACTCCAACATCCGAACACAGTGGCTACAAACACAAGAAAAATAATTTAAATACAATTTTTCACTATATAAAGCTATATGACATAGTTTTTCATGTTCTACTTTTATACTTACAATGTACTGTCAGGATCTGTTGTATTTAAGTGTTCCAGAACTTGTATTTCTAAGCGAGCAGCTTCACAGTATCTGTCTACATTTTTTACTATTTTTACCGCGACACGTCTATCTCCTCTGTTAAGATAAAAATTATTGATAAAGATTATTTCCATTATTCTATTACCTTCCTCACCAAAGGAGATGAGATCCTAAGGCAAAATAAAATTTCAATACGTTAGACTTCTCAAGTGCAAACACAGGATAAGAAACTTACGCTTTATGATCGATGCACTCTACTACTTTCCCGAAAGCTCCTTCACCTAATGTACCAACAATTTCATCTAAAACAAAGAAATAAACCTCAGTCACATCATGAAATAGACAAACTTTACTTATAATAAATGCTACCAATGCAGATTCTAGTTGAGGCTATATATTTCCTATCACTAGATATTTACTTTATTGATCAACAACATTAAAAACAAAAAATACGTATAATTATTTTTAGGTATAATTCCATTAACTTGCTTTCCTGCTCTGGAAGTTCTGAATAACATATTAAATTGCTAAAGAAAGTAAAGCACAATCAATCCACCCCACCAAGAAGAAATAACAAAAGAAAGGGGGAGCAAACAAAAAAACGATAGAAGGGAAAAGAATAGAAAATTAAAAAATAGAACAAAACAAACAAACAAAACAAACCAAAAAAACCCCTTCCAAATCTCTGAAATCTTAATCTATATAAAGATTATGTTATCTGAAAAGTTAATAAGTGTTGAAAAATATTCTATACATCTTGCACTTAGTACGTCTCCACTCTGACAGATCAGGTGACCCTCCTCATCATCCTCTACACTCCTGGTTCTTTTCCTTCGGTGACTCTTCTGGAAACGTCAAGTGGGCGGCACCAAGATCATCCAGCCAATCATTATACCCGAGTGAATTCAGGGCAGAATACGAATTTCATTCAGCGGGGAGATATTCAGGCATTCAGATACACGCCAGGCCACAAACGGTTGGCAGGAGCAATTTCAAATTCAGTCCCCAGAAATTCACAGGGCACATAGTTTATGTTAACAGGAGAAAAACATGGCAAGGAACAGATTTTCAGATAAGATACTCAAAGTGGCAAGGCAATAAAACATAATACAATTGTTTTCTTAAATTATAATTATAAAAATGCTTAGTTGTAGCATTCACTGAAAATATGATTTTAAGTTTCTAGTGTCCTAATTTAATGTGGTAACTCTAGGAGATAATATTTACATGTCAAAATAAACTGTGGCCAAATTAAGATTAAGCAAACCTAAGAAAATAAGCACTGGAACAGCAAATAAAATTAAAATTCTACTTTCTGAGGGAAAAATATCTGGCATACAAGAGTAATACTATGGTATTTCCAATGTCATCTGAGCTAATCTGCAAATTAATATACAATTTATAAATTAATTGCTGTTGCTTAGTGGGGGGAAAATTAAGAGAGCATGCGTTGCTATAACAAAGGAACATTTATGTCATAATTATACAAAACCAAAACACTTGGGCTTTTTCTATAATCTTCCACTTACTGAAACAGATTTCTTGAAATATTAAACAACACAGAAAGAATGCTGAAACTGAGTTGACTTCATCTTAAACAGATTTTCCCCCAATAGTGAAACAAATTAAATCTTCCTCTTCCACATGGGAAATAAAAATTTTCAAAATTGTTTTAAAAGAGCTCATACCCCATGTGAACGATGATGTGAAGTACTGTGGTGAATCTTGTGTTTGCTTTTATAACTACTTCTCCCACTTCCACCAGAAGATTTGCTACTATGGTTCTGATATCTGCTTTCATGGTGTCTATGGCGATGCCCAGGTTCACATCCTTGACTGTAGTCATTTCTGTATTCATCAATGTAGCGACGACTATGATAACCTTTCTCATTTATAGATCTGCTTTCCAAATAATGGCTAAAGAAATTTTAAAAAGTTTATTTCAATGCTGTATACTAATAGCAAAGTCTTAAATTCTCAATAAATCTTGTAGAACAGTATTTTTAATGTCTCCTATTAGAAACTGGGAAAAATGCTAATTAGTTATTTTAAGTGATTAAGAAAGTATTTCTTCACTGAATACATTCCCTTTTAATCCTCTCCTTACCTATCCGATGTTTTGGAGTGATTATATTTGCAGCGTTTATTCTCCCAAGCACGGCTATGTGATCTCTTCCTTTTGTAACCGCTGATGCTCCTCCATGTTCCACAATTCCAACCCTTGTCATCCCAATTAGGACAGTAAATTCTTCTTGAGTATCTCATCTACATAAAAAATTGTACAATACATATGATTGTAAGCAAACCAGTTTCTTAAAAAGTCAATTTTACTCTCTAGCAAGACAATCATAATGTTCTCATCACTAAATTATGCTAACTACATTTACAAATAAAGATTACTGCTAGAGCATCTGGTGGATTTGAACCATGTACCTCTGGGATTGTAGTACAGCTTCTTGACAGCCACTTGGGACACCAGAGCTCCCTTATTATGGAATCTTATAAGTAGTAAAACATTCAGCCTACAAAGGACATTTATCATACATAAAATCAAGGATATCTTCTTCACAGAAAGCTACAAAATGCTTATTCCAAGTACCACTTTTGAGGCTGGACAATAAAAACAGCATATTTTAAAAGTTATCTTAATACATTCGTTTCAGGGTTGAGAGGAAGAAGCCATCTTCCTTTCAAAAAGTTTCTGGTTTTTTAAGGTTGCACAGTGGAGTGTATTCGGGGCAGTGATGGGAGGGGGAGGGGTGTACCAAAGAAAGAATTTTTCTTTTACTTTTCAGAGAGTAGCGAACGGGAGGGGGGGGCGTGGCGTGGGGGCGTGGGCAGGGAGAAAAGTGCAACAATGAATGAACGGAAAAAATCTCTGTAAATGTTCATTAAAATTAATAAAATTTTTAAAAAAAGCTTCTGGTTTTGAAACATAAGACTTGAAAATGAGAAGATGGTAATTTGCCACTGTACAGTCCTCAACTTGACCCGTCATTTAGTTCCCAATCTAATTCTAAACAGAGAAGTAAACAAAAATATGTGGCATATACATTCACACGATGGAATATTACTGAACCTGAGTTCTAATAATACATACACCTTAAAAATAAGAGCAAAGCACACCTGAAACAAAATGCCCAGTATTTTATGATCCCACTTACGTAAAACACCGAGAAGAGAGAAATCCACAAAAGACAAACCTTACACCGCCTGCCCTGATTCACAGCTACCTCTCGAGCAGAAGCCATCTGCGCCCTGAGGTTTCCAAATCAGCGTTTAGAGACGTGATTTGTCAGCTATTTCCCTTCTGCCAAGGGCGGCTTTACAGGGGTTCCTGATTAGATGCCCGTGAGTTTGCTAAGGTTTAAAACAGTAACAAAAACAGAAGACAAAGCCCAACCGCGGAAACGCAGTGAAGTTCCCCGTCGCAGAACTGTTCACATAAAAATGCTCCTGAACGGCAGGTGTCCTGCTATGAAGCCTTCCGCGACCAGAAAAAGAACAGCCCGTATTTTTTTTTTTTTTACACCTTTCTCTGAAGGCTAAAACATAATCTGATGGGAGCTATTTTAAAAGAAGAAAACAGACTCAGCTGATTTTTGTTCCCATCTTTCATTCCTGTCTCAGGTGGGTTGGACCTCCCCTCCCGTCCCCGACAGTCACGTGGATCAGTTTCTCTGGAAATCATTTCTGTATTCATCAATGTAGCCTTCAGTGGTATCAACCGACTGTCCCATTTCACTGGCTTTGGGGACGTGTGTGATTTCTCTCCTGGAGCAGACCTGTTTGTCACACTTTATGTCCTTCCTTCTCCATCCACACTTTGCATTTCAGAACATCTATTAAAACTTGCGGGAGCTCTGGCGGCCTAGTGTGTAAGGACTTGCACCGCCACTGCAAAGGCACACAGTTCAAACCCACCAACTGCTACACTGAAGAATGATGGGCAATATGCACCTGTCCCCACGACGGAAAGCAGGGCTGGCAGCGGGGCGGCTGGCCGTTGCCAAGGCACACGGGGTACACAGGAACCCCCAATGGTAAGGAAGCAAGCAGGGAAATTCCTGCCGGGCAAGGTCAATAGACAGGCTCCCGACAAGTGTTACCAAACAAGCCCTCGGCGCCGACCCTCCAGCCGCGTCCCCGGGTGGTAATCGCGCCGACACCGCCCGGCTGGATTCGAACAGCGCCCCCCCCCCCCCCACGCCGCCTTGGGCTCAAACTCCCTACAGACTCCGCCACCAGAGGCGGGCGGACGCCCACTGTCACGGAAAAAAAAGGGGGTCCAAGTGCTGGGTATTGTACTTCGAAAACAAAAATAAAACCTTTCTTAAAAATGTTTTACTGGCCAAAACTACTATGAGATATCATCTCACCCCAGTAAGAATAGCAAAATATAACAGAACAGCAAGCAACAAATGCTGGCGAGGTTGTGGAGAAACTGGAACCCTTATTCACTGTTGGTGGGAATGTAAGATGGTGCAACCACTGTGAAAGGTGGTATGGTGCTTTCTCAAAAAATTGCAAATAGATATACCATTTGACCCCGCAACACCACTACTGGGAATATACCCAGAAGAGACCAAAACTGACACCCAAGCAGATATATGCACACCCATGTTTATTGCAGCTTTGTTCACAATAGCAAGGAGCTGGAAACAACCTAAGTGCCCATCAACAAACGAATGGTTAGAGAAGCTGTGGTATATTCGCACAATGGAATACTATGCTGCATTTAAAAACAAGGAACTCATGCAATATTATTCAAAATGGTTGACTCTGGAGAACATTATGCTGAGTGAAATATCCCAGTCACAAAAGGACAAATATTACATGATGCCACTGTTGTAGAATGGGACTGTCCTTGGGGTTAGGGAGACACTGAGTAAGATGGGTTCAATAATGTATACTGCACTGAAGCAGAGGAGGGAGAGAACCGTCTGAATACTGCATGGTGCCACTGTTGTGGAATGGGTCTGACATCAGGGTGGGGGTATGACAGAAAATACTGGATAAATTATTTTTTTTTTTTTATGAAATACAAAAATGCATTTTTAATTGAAAAAGTAAGCTCATCTATGTCACAGGGCAAAACAATAGAAAAGAAGTAATCTTAAATGACAGCCCTTCTACCAGGAGGATTTGTCCACACAACACACTTGCTGTGGCCTCTCCGTGTTCCCAGGTTCCCACCCCTGCCTGTGTATCAGCACCTCCAGACTCTCCCTAATCGTCATGACAGAATGTCTTTGACTGTGCTGTATATGTGTATATCTATCTATATCTGTCTATATCTATCTATATCTGTCTATATCTATCTATATCTATCTATATATCTATACCTGGTTATAAGTCTACCATTGCCTGCATGTATCCCACACTATGGACTTAGGTTAACACGTCTGTGTTTCTAGCTAGGGCTGCTTTTTTTTTTTTTTTAGAAAATACTGGATAAATTATGTATATTGTATTGAAACAGATGAGGGAAAGAACAGATTAGAAGTGATATATGATTATTATGGTTAGCACAGGAATCCAGAATCAAGGTTGCACAGAGAAGTGTACTGGGGTGGGGGTGGGGGGAAGGGACGTGGGAATTGTATACTAATGAAGGAACTTTTTTTCTTTTTTTTTCTCTCTTCGGAGGGGGAAGCGAGGTGGTGGGGAGGGGTGGACAGGGAGAAAATTGCTGCAATGAATGAATGGAAATCCAAAACCTCTGTTAAAAAAAAAATGTTTTACTGGCGAGCTCTGGTGTCCTAGTGTCAAGAAGCTGCATTGCGATCCCAGAGGCACATGGTTCAAATCCACCAGATGCTCTGCTGGATAAGGAAGGACAATCTCCTCCTGTACCAGTCAGATCTGATTTGACGGTACACACATTAAAAATTTTTTACTATTTAAAGTGAAGCAAAAGGGTCTAAAAATTTAAAAACCAACCCTCCTCCCCCCGCCAACAGCTGGAGGCCAGAGGTGCGCGCGACCATGAAATGGCAGCACGCTGCAGTCTCCCCGCGACCCTTCCAGTCAGCGGGGCCCGCCCTTCCTTTGCTTCCCCCAGCCGGTCTGTTTCCGCGGACGGCAAACACTCGACGTCACCATGACGCGCCACCCTGCTCGGCCCCTCCCACGGCCTACGAGAACGAGACTGAAACCCAAGCAACCACACAAACGCCCGGCAAAACCAGGGAGCGCCGCCTCCAGCCGCCGCCATCTTACCGCTCGGTCGAGCCGGCCGCGGAGCCAACGGGGCAGACAAGATGGCGCGCGCGCCGCCGCCTCCCCGGCCGCCCGCCTCCCCGTGACCGACAATTCAAGGGCACCGTCCCATCTGGCAAAGCTGCCATTCCCCCCGCCGGGATGTCGCGGATCCAGCCTAAACAGGCGGCGACAGGATGGGCGGAGCAGAGAAGACAGAGGTGCTGCCTTGGCGAAGCCGAAGGAGAGCGGGGAAGAACGGGTAGGTCGACGCGAGCGAGACAAGCAAGGGCAGCGAGTCTAAGACACAGGAAAAAAAGGCCCTGACACCCCGTCTGCCGCTTCTGGCGTCTTACCGTTCTGTCCAGAGAGTCCAAAACAATGGAGACAAAGCTTGCACCGCGACAGTCCCAACTGACAGCGTCAAAATCTGACAACAAAATGGAGCTGACAGCCGGGCGTCCCGACTCTTAACGAAAACAAGCCTCACGTCGTGCGTGCGTGCGTGCGTACTTGAGTCTCTGCGCGGAGGGGGCGGGCCTCAGAGGTGGGCGGGGCGTGCGTACAGCTCCTGTGTGCGCAGGCGCAGGCCGGCTCTCCGGCCTCGGTGAAGAGGAAGCTGGCGGTCTCCATGTTCGCCTCTATATATGTTTCCATTTTCATAAGGAGCTGCGCAGGCTTGAGCGGAAAAGCTTGCTTATGCTCTTTTGTCATTTTAAACAAAGTTTAAATTGCATATTGGTTTCCGATAAAGAAGATACTCTACGAAGCATCATGTGTTTCGAGTAACGTTAAAATTCCACCATCTGCTTTAAATAAGAGCCGTTTGGGGATTTTCGATTTTAGTTGGGGTCTGTTGTAAGAGCAAAACCCAGTAACCGCTGCAGTTGTGAAAACTGAGAAAAAGTTTATTTGGTAGATTTTGTAAAAGGTAAAAAAATAAATAATCTGGTTTGCAAGCAACACAGTTCCTCCTAACACCCAAAATTGCCACATCCGTTAGGAAATTTATTCAGGGTAGAATAAAACGTCACGTCAGTGTGCTAACAGATGTTTATACATCT